AGCTGCGTCTCTGTGAGTTACTGGCAGAGCAGCCTCTGCTGCTTTCAGCTCCTGTCTCAGGCCATTCCTGGCTGTCTCTGAGACGCCAGGCCCTGGTCCAGCACCGGCGCCTTTTACAGCCGGATTACACAACCCTCTCTCCAGGTTTTTTCTTCTTTTCTGTGCATAGCTAGGTTTTCCCTCCTGTCTGGAAGGATTGCTAAGACCCCACAGTGGGGCTGGAGGAAAATGCCGGAGCTGAAGCATGAGCCCAGTGGCTGTTTCTATATGCTGTTCAAGTGGTCCAGACCCGATAAAAACCTTTTCCATATGGAGGGAAAGAAAAAGGCTGCTGTTCCCAGGAGCCTGCTACCAATTCCCAAGGTGCCTCTTGCCAAGAGGAGAAGATTTTCTTTTGTCTCCCAGCATCCTTGCCAGAGCTCAGCCTGGCTGATTCCGTTTAACCTGCTTAGAGATCTGACTGGGCACCGAGTCCTTCTGCACCCATGCTGAGATCACGGCCGTGCACGCAGCTCTCTGAGCTGCTGGTGCACCGTGGTGGACAGCCGGGGCATCCCACCCCTGCTAGCACGTCCACTCACAGCATCACTAGAGAAGTCTAATTCTTTTCTGAGAAGTGGGAAACTAAAAACAAGCCTCCGCTCTCCATTTGCTGATCTCCCAAAGCTCTTTTCAATCTTCTAGCTGTAGGCATCTTTGGAGTCACTAAGTGTGCCACAGTTGTAGCTAGATAACACATCACACTGATAAGCTAGGTAGAAACAACCGTATAGGGTCAGACCCAAGGCCAGTCTGGCCCTGCCTCCTCTCCATGGCAGAGTCTAAAACAGCTTGGAAAAATAAAAGAGCAGGGCAAGCATGTGGTAGTGTATCTTCAAAAAGATCCCCAAGACTCCAGTAATTTGTGCTCAGAGACCCCCTGACACAGAACGGTGTCGCTTTACTTCATAGTACTGAATGGATGTTGCTTTTGTGAATGTTTCCACATACTTTTTATAACTTTGGAAGTTTTCAGCATCAACAGAGAGCTGTGGAAAGGTGGTCTGCAGTTCAGCTGGGCACCGTGTGCAGGACCAGCTCCTGGGGTTCACTCTGGGCTGGGCACTGCTTGGTGTCTCATCATGCTCTGTAGTTCTTGTGTTGGAAGAGATGATCCCTACCATCAGTAGTCTGTTCCTATCGTCAACAAGCCGCTAAGAGTTTCATAGACCTCTTTCACATCCATCCATGACCTCTTTTCAAGGCTGAAAAGACTTAGTCTGTATAATCCTTCTCCTATAGAACATGCTCCATAAATTTTTTCATGGCTATGAACTAGCCATCCTTATCACTTCCCCTAATACCCTTCTATCGGGAAGCCCACAGAGTGCCCGTAATATTCAAGATGCAGGTGCAGAGTGGAGTTATGCACTGGCATAGTGATTTTTTCTGTTTCATACTCTCTTCCTTTCTAAATTTATCCATTCTTAATAATTCACAACATTTAATGTCTGGTTTTATTGCCATTGAATAATTATTGTAACCCTTAGGTCTGATCAGAGGCCGTTGTAACCCCAGTGACAGGTCTGATCAGAGGCCATTGCTGTAAATGTGAAGTCCTAATTGTTTGGGTGTTTTTTTTCCCCCAATTTCTGTACCGTACATGGATTTGCAGCTGCTCACGCTCAGTAGCTCAAAAGCAGCCCATGACAAGAACGGCCTGAGGTTTGCTAATCACGTTCAGTGTACATGATGAGATCTGGGTGCATCCTCACAGCATGAAGGAGAGGCTGAAGGTCAGGAGTGTGGCAGACAGAGGGACTGTTAAAACAGAGATTGGTTGGGAATGGAAAAACCTGATGCTGAAGGTGGCTGTAAATAATGCCATCAAAGAAGGGCTTTCATTTGAGGGGAAAGATGGAATTATTTATTAACTTCATGCATATGATCATTTGTGCTGCTCTCTGTTAAATAATACAGCTGTGGACATCGGTAACTTTGAAAACTTGTGGTATTACAGCAATTGTGGGAGAAAAAAGGTTTTCCATCGAAAAGAGCTGTTCTGACCAAGCTTTTTATTCTTCACCTTTTGGGAAACTTTTAGTTTCATTCCATTTTTTGCTCTATATGTGCTTTTGTCTTTATGTGTACCTTCTTGCTGCGTCTTTTCATGGCAGCCTAATGGCCTGCAAAAATACCGTAGGTAGAAGTTTCACTTCAGGAAGTCTCAAACTTGTCTCATTAAGACACACACAGAGATAAAAAAGTTTCAGTTTTTAGTGGCAGTGGTTCTTAAATAAGTTCCAAAATAGATAATGGAATAAGTCAACAATTTTATCACTTTTTCTGTCATATTAGTATTAATCACCATTGTGTTACATCATGGAATAAAGTAAGAATAACACCAACAGCATAAGAAAAGCTCTGTGTCATAGAGTTTAATGAAAACCACAGCTGCAGATTTCAGGAACTCACATGCTTTACATTATTCTGAAAAATACATTTCCAAAATTTGATTTAAAAAAAAAAAAAATTCTCTTTCAAAGGACTTTTTAAAAGTTATTTTTCTCCCTTTGAATAAAAATAAAGATAATTTCAGAATGCTTTCACTTCACATTGAGAAGACCAGGTTTACCTGGTTCCTACATTTGGCACTCTCTAGCCACCAAGTGACCTCACCCAAAGCCTTCTCCCTGTGAGCAGCTGCGGAGATGCAGGAGCAACTTCAAACATATCTTATTTTTATATTAAGGGTGAAAGTTTGGAGAAGCAAAATTCGTGGCTTGGGTGATGTGATGAAATCTGTCCCTGTAGGGATAATGCTAGAGCGCCTTTCCTATCAGCGTTGCAGTATGGAGGTGGGATAAACAACAGACTTAACAAAAGTCTCTTAGGAAAGGACAAAATCAGAAGCTAAGGCAGGTGGATTAGCATGTAGAGGATGGGTATTTAGGTTTCCTATGTGGCTGCAGCAGTCCCTGCAGCATCCTGGAGTGCAATCATGACACCGCAGTCTACGTGTGGCTTCATCTCCCCCCAAGTCAATACATTTTGGTGACAGCATCGAGCTGTGACACATCCTGGGCTGCATGTCACCTGCATGTCTGTCTTCTCACCTTCTCCCCAGACTTTTTCTCTCCTTGTTGTCATCCTCCATGCCTTTCCTCCCACTCTTTCTGCTAGCCACCACTTTCCCTTTGGCAGGTGGCTCAAAAGGGCTCTGTGCTCCTGTCACGTGCAGGGAAGCCTTTTCTCGCCCAGTGCTGGAGTGTTTTGTGGGGGTAATTAACTGTGAAAAGCATCACTCTTGGTGGGGGGGAGAAGCTTAGTGGAACAACTCATTTAAAATCTTTGCATGGACTCCCCTTCATATACGCGCTGAAGAATACACCCTTTTTACAGAGCCTCAGCTCTCCCTAGAGTGTTGTCTTGGTGCATATTGGTAGAAACATTGAAATACATTCTCTGGATTGATATCCATGGTGGGATGCTGGCATGAGCCTGGGCTAATGGCAGTCGATAAAGCCTCAAAGGCTTGGTGTGGAATTGATGGAAATGCTTTCAGTTTCAGAGCTGATGATCCAGCCCATCAAAGAGCATGGGTTCACTGGCAAAATAGTTAGCATGTTTTGCTGCAATTAAATAGCCTATAAATAGCTGTGCTACATAAGGAATATATTCTCATCTATATAAAATGTAGGTGATGTATGTTCAAAACAACCTCATTGTAATCTGGATTTTTATGTGGGGATTTTCTGTAAAAGTAGAGAAAGATCTTGAATTCATCGAATCATAAAATCATAGAATGGTTTGGGTTGGAAGGGACCTTAAAGATCATCTAGTTCCAACCCCCCTGCTGTGGGCAGGGACACCTTCCACTAGACCAGGTTGCTCAAAGCCCCATCCAGCCTGACCTTGAACACTTCAAGGGATGGGGTATCCACAACTTCTCTGGGCAACCTCTTCCAGTGCCTCATCGCCCTTTGAATTTTCAAAACCATGTTCAGTTTTTCAGTGGCAATGCAAGTGGCAAAAACCTCAGCTGAAAGCTGAAATATCTAGGTATCAGGTGATAGAGAAAGCAATGAAAAAAAACCCAAACAAAACCTTATATTTTCTTCCTGTGCACCAAGTGCAATTTTCTTTGAACCCCCACTTTATTTTGGATCAGGAGTTTCACAGAAAAGTTTGCCTTTGATATAAGAGAAGGAAGTGAAAAAATGCTATTTTTTGCACAGGCACTAACCTCTCTTTCTTTTCTTTCTTTCTTTCTTTCTTTCTTTCTTTCTTTCTTTCTTTCTTTCTTTCTTTCTTTCTTTCTTTCTTTCTTTCTTTCTTTCTTTCTTTCTTTCTTTCTTTCTTTCTTTCTTTCTTTCTTTCTTTCTTTCTTTCTTTCTTTCTTTCTTTCTTTCTTTCTTTCTTTCTTTCTTTCTTTCTTTCTTTCTTTCTTTCTTTCTTTCTTTCTTTCTTTCTTTCTTTCTTTCTTTCTTTCTTTCTTTCTTTCTTTCTTTCTTTCTTTCTTTCTTTCTTTCGGCTTCACACACCCCCCCCCCCCCCCCCCCCCCTTTCTTCCACCTTCCTCTTGCAGCAAGAAAAACAGCAGACACCAAACAAGAGACCCTGGGAAGGAATCAGGAAAGTCCAGTCACCGCCATCATGGGTTAAAAAGGACATCGAACCTGTGGCACAGTCTCCCCTAGAACTAAAAACTGTAGAGTGGGAGAAAACAGGAGCCACCATCCCCCTGGTGGGACAAGACATTATTGACCTTCAGACAGAGGTCTGAGTGGAGAGGGAAGAAAGGGACTTTTTTTTTCCAGAAAAAAAAAGAAACAAACAAAACAAAACCACGTTTTAAAGAAATGATTAAATTAAATCGGAACCGAGCGAGAGAAGTGTTTGGTTTCTTTTGAAACCTTTGGTAAGGTGGAGTAACTTTTGTATTATTCTCAGCAGAGAGGGGGAATATTACTTTATAGAGTATAGTAGCTGTAGGTTCAGGACAACATGAGCTTTCCCAGGTAAGGACTGGAGAAGAAGTGAACCTGGAAGAGAGCAAGGAGGAGGCAGAGGGTGGGGAGGGACTGCAGGGGACGAGCCCTGCCAAGATACTTTCGGGCTGCTGCTGCATTCCGGGAGCCTTCCGGCTCTGCCACAAGGAGGTGTGGAAGGACGCCCAGCAGCCACCGCGAAGGGCCAAGAAGATCGGGGTTGTTTGGGGACCACAAGAGGGGACACCTGCAGGAGTCTCGCTGGGATGTGACCTGGCCATAGATCCCTGGGGGAGACCCAGCCTTGAGGGTCTGTGGCATCCCTTGCCGATCCTCGCCCCCCAACTCTCCCTCACCAGCTCATCCAAGAAGGAAGAAGACGGGATGCGCCAAGCAGTGGCCAAGAAGACATTCCCACTCCTATATGCCACACCATGACCTGGCATCGTGGCACCCCCGCAGTGGGTCCCCACGGGGCCCGGAGGGGGAATTGGTGGCATCATCCATGGCTTAGGTGGAGAGGTAAGGTGGGGCTTCCTTCTCTCATCCCTCCACAGCAGAGCTCCTGCGCGCCATAAGGAGTGGGACAGGCACAGGAGGAAAGGACCACCTCCAAAACCTGCTCGCCCCGTCTCCAGGGAGAGGGTCGAAAGTGTTAGAAAAACAGACCAACGAGAAGAATGTAGGTTGTTTCATTGACTGTTAAATAGATAAACTCAGCACGGACCTTGCGAAGGTCCTCTTGGCCTCATCTTTTTTTTTTCCTGTTATTTTTCCTTCCTTTCGGACTCAGATTTATTCCAAGCTGCCCCTCCCTGGAATGCAGAGAGAGAAAGAGGGAAAGACAGATCTGTCGATGTACCTGGAGATATTTGGTATACAGAGATGTTGCCTTAGGACATTGAGACAAACTGACAACATGAATAACGTCCACTTGGAAACAAACAAACAAACAAAATAATCTATTTTTTTCCTTCTTCTTTTCTTTTCTTCAATAAAAAGAGAACTTGAAACCCGAGACCTTTCTTTTCTTTGGCTCTTGTCATTTCGAATGCCTTTCTGTGCCGTAGGACTACGCAGGCATGGGGTGAGGATGCCACCTGCTGAAGGTGGAAGGCAAGTTGCTCCGTGGAAAGTTTGGGATGGTGGGAACACCCAGCCCCTTCGTCGCTCACTTGCAATGTTTTGCTTTGTTTTATTCAGTTTGGGCTTTGGTTATTTTCCCCTCGCTGTCTCTTCTCCTCCCTCCCCACTGCCCAGAGCCAGCAGGCAGGTTTGTGGTCCTACAAGAAGGAAGAGGTGGAGCTGGTCAGGAGAGCAGGACATTCCTCATCATAAAATACTGTCTTTTTATTTCACCATGAGAAAAATAATGTTTTTTTTTTTATTAAACATTTCTCAAGGTATTTAGAAAAAATAAGGTATCTACATTTCACCCCAAAAAGTGTTGTGCAATATTTTTGTCATTAAAAAATATACCACTGACATTACACGCAGACGTCATTTTTTTATCATTCCCAGCACTGTCTGTCTGATGTTTGGAACAACTCTCCCAGCTTTGGAGATGTGCGGTGACAAACCTCTGGTTGAGAGTGGCCAGATTGTGCCAGACAGCAGTAAAGCTTGATCAGGGTCTGAGTTATTACTGTGTGTTTGGGTCTCTTTTTTTACAAAAAAACAACATTTTTAGGAAAAAGCTAGCAATGGATACAAGATGCAAAACAATCACTGACCCCAGTTGTGTTTCCTCCACTGAGAGATGTTGCTTGACATGCAAACATCCCTGCTTCAATTTACCTTTGGGCCATCTGGGTAACTGATCTTTAAGGACAGTGGCATTTACCTTGCCATTAACTGTATAATATGAAGGATGGAAAGAAAAACTTTAAAAAAATCCAAATAGTTACAAAATAGGGAAACTGATTACTTATAAAAACTGTGATATTCTTGTTCAATTTTAGATTATTCTATGAAACAGGAAAGCACAAAGGCCTCCCTCAGATGCCGGGTTGTATGATATTGTAATTATTATAATTACACATTATGAATTTTAGCATACAGATATCTTTCTACTGTGTTTTAATTCTTTTCTCTCTTTTTTTTTTTTTCCCCTCCCCTGCCCAACCAAGCCTGCCCTCTTCTCTCCAACCTTCCCCATTCACCCATTCACTCCAGCCGACTTGCAGGACATTAACGGTGTTATGTAATTACAGAGATAAATGTTTGTTTAATAACTGTTGATATTCGACTTTCTCTGCTCAGCTCCTCCGGTTAATTCTGTTTTCCCATGCCCTGCCCTGCCCCATGCCATGCCTTCCCCTCCCTCCTCTCTGTGTTCGTCAATTTTTTTTCTGTATAGTTTTCAGAGCACAAAATGAATGTGTCTTATTTCTAATAAAAGAGGTGTAAACTCTAGCGATGTCTGCTTTTTAAAAGCGCCCCTGCCCGCGCCCCACGTGTGGTTTGCATCGCGCCCGGGTGCTGGGAAACACCTCTCCAGGACCTGCAAGCTGCCACCTTGGCTCTCTACTCTGGAAGAGCCATAGCCCGGGGCCAAACTTGCCCCACGAGTGCATCTTTTGCTTTTAGCTTTGTAGCTTCTTGACACCCCCAAAAATACCTCCCCTTATGATGGACATTTCCAGGGCACGAGGAATTCCCTTTTCTGTCCAGTGCAGCCTGCTTTTCTGCAGGTATCTCTAACCCAAGCCTTGATGCCCCCTTCCCAATATCATATGATGTGAGGGGCTGATATTTAACACTGGCAGAGGACAGTGATGCTGGGCTATAGTTTCCAACGGGGCTAGGGCAATGCTGATGCTACCCTGCCTGCACACCTGCAAAGCCAATCTCAACCTCACCTGGATTTCCCTGCCACCTCCTTTATTACGAGGCAGGCTGCGAGCAGGAGCATGGCTCAGTGCACAAGGGGGTTAAGGATATCACTCATGAAAGATGACAAGAAATGAGCTGAGCTAGGGATTATTCACCTCCTTGGCGCTTACCCTTGAATGGCTGAAATCCTCCAGCAGGAAAATGTGTCCTTATCTCCCTGACCCTGCTCCATCACCTCATCGACAGTTTTTAGGTTTATAGGCAGGATTGCAGGAGGCTTAGGGGTCTAGCAAATCGGATTCAGAGCTGCTGCTCTCCAGAGCTTTGATCCAAAGCCATCATGGCCCAGTAGGTCCCCAGATATAATGACTTCTCTTGGCCTGGCTGAAATGAATTGGATATCCTGAAATGTCTGAAATGATTGCAGAGGCGTGGGGCTGCCCGGAGGCTCTTAGCCCAATCCCCCCACCCCTGAACCATGACCCAACCTTTCTTCAATCAATCAGCAGCGCCTGATGGTGAGTCCCAGGGCTTCTCCATCCTTCTTGCAGGGGTGTCTCTCACCCTACATCTCCCATACCATGATCCTATAGCATTAGCAGGCAGAAGGGAAATACTAACCACCAGGCATCATGTGAGGTGACGGGCTGGGAGGGCAGGAGACCCCAAATCCCAGATCATAGCCCTAGAGAAGGTTCAGGAGGTCCTGCTGTTTATCATCAAGGGGAGCTGGAAGGAGGGAGGACATGTCCTCACTGTGTTCATGGGACTGTAAATAACAGCACTGTCAGAGGTGGTGGATGCAGGAGGTCAGTGTATGTACACGTGGTTTCGGTTTGCACTGTGGTTATAATGTGGTGTGGCTGCAAGGATAGTTGCAGGATTGGAAAGGGCCTCCTGAGGTTCCCACGAACTGTCCTACAACCCTGTGATCCTGCCTTGCAGCTACTCCAGGCTATAGCCATGAGGCAAACAGAGAACACCTGTACATACACCATGATCTCTCAAGGAGAAAGCACAGCCACGCTGCGGCAGTGGATAAATGGTACGTTGCACAAATAAGAAATCATGTTTCTTGGTTGCTACACTGGGAAAACATGGCTGTGCTGGAAAATTTAAAAGAATCTGAAAATTGAAAAAATCGCAAAGCATTTGCCCTGGGCTACCCATATAGGGAAAGGTCCTTATGGAGCAAGACACCGTTCCTGGAAGATTTGGGACCAGAGCAGGAGATTACCCTCTGCAGTGATTTCTCTCTGTTCTGTGGCTGAAGGGAGTGCTTGGGCTCACTATGCTACTAAGTGAGGTGTCCAAAATGAGGTAGGATGAATCTGGGCCTGAGCTGAATATCTGCTCCTGAGCTCCTGTTGTGACAAGAACTAAACAGAAGAAAAGAAAGAAGACAACTGCTTTTTTTTCCCTTATTTTCCCCAATCTGCTCCACCCAGGAAGAGGTCAGTGCCTCCTGAGGGAAGTGTCTGCCTTGAAGCTTTCGAGCAAGTAGAAAACACCTTCAAAATAGCTTTCAACAGCCCTCTGGGTAAAGAGTGCTCAGGGGATCCATGTGGAGGACCTCTCCAGGTGCTTGCTTGCTCAGATCTATTTTCATTAATGATTTTCCAAAAAACCTTTCAGGTATCTGAGGCTCAAAGCTCCCTTATGCTGGCAAGCCCCTTGGGTAGGCCAATTTCCTACCAAGCCCTAGAGAAGACAACATGGAACACAAGCACAGTTCCTAAGCTGGGACCATGCAGGACTTCATATTGGATGGTCAAAATCATTCCTTCCTGGCCTTAAAAACCTGAGAATCTTTTTAGGACATGATGCTGAATAGCGCCAACAGAGAAACTCACTGATGATTATATTCGCATTATGTTTGAGTAATGAACACCACTCATTACACTGGCTCCTTAGCAAGTTGAGTAGCTGTTATGGCAGTAATGCCAAAAAAGAGGCCCAGGGGAATGAGGTAGTCAGGTTTCAGTCACTCTTCAATCTCTTCTCTTCCCTCACCCTCTCTGTGGAGCCCTACCACATGGAGGTGGTCCTTGCTTATCTCCTCCTGTGTCCTAGAGTCACTGTGGCTTTGTCACATTAGTGAGGAGCAATGTGGCTTCTGAGGAGAGCATGCAGCCACTATGACAGCCAGAAGAGCTGTGGCATCTTGAGAGACGAAGCCCCAAGATCACCCTCTTGGATCAGGTCCCCACCAGCCAGCTGCTTCACAGCTGTTTGCTTCTTTGAAAAGCAACATCTCTTGGCTCCTGCGGAGTTTGCAAGAGCCCCTTGAACTTCTAAATTGGGAAAGAAAGGACAGATGTTATACTTTGGGGGGAAACAGAGGACAAGCAGGACTCAGCCTGTGGGGAAGAATCCTATGTAAGGTTTGGGTGGTTCTGTTTGCTTTCTCCCCTTGCAGATTTCACTTAAGAAATAACCAAGCGCAAGTGTGCTGCTCTCAGCTGCTGCACCCTGACTTGTGCTAGAAGACTCCACGTCTACAGAGACACACCAGGGCTGAGCTGTCACTGCCACCACTTCCCAATGACTTTAAAGTCCTTTAGGTAAAAGGCCAAATTTGGGGAAAAGGTAAGTCAGTACCA